TATGATAATGCTTGTTTCCTGCGTATAAATTAGTCTTTGCATAAGCCTAGACCTCACGTAAAGAGACGAAAAGGTTTTAGCGCTAAAATTAATAACTCAGGAATCACAATCTGCAATGCAGTCGACACTTCAACAGAAAGGTTTTCCTGGGCAAAGTCGTAAAAGCGTTAGCTGAACAGAGTTGCGCAAACGCCCGACAGACAGAATTGCACATGCGTTCGCTGAGCAAGGTCGAACAGAGGGCATGATTGCATCAGCTGCCCTGGTGCACCACTATTTATTTGTTACTGTTGTATTGTGAGTAAATACATCAGCTAAATTTTTCATTCGTCTCTCCTCAATTTAATCCATTGAACACTACATCCCAAACGCACTAGAAATGGCAAGGGACAAATAATATTTAAAAGTCGGACAATGAAGAGATCTTCACACATACTGCTTAAATTCTTCACACATACTGCTCAAAGCTTAAAAATTCTGTCTAGTAACAAGCGGTCACTTGTAGAGAATTCGAAAAATCGGGAGAATAGTTTTGATTGTTTTATTCGTACTGCATGGCTCTTAGTTTCACTACTGTCTTTATTACGACCAGTGCCTGTTCAGGATTTTGCCCGTATTATATTTTCCGGTTTCATGACGTTCCGTGTCTTATTGTTTAGTTCTGACCTGTGCCTTAAATATACTGATTGGAAATTTTAGGATAAAAAATTAAACTGGTAACGATGATAATGAACAATTTATGTGTGAAGGCGATGAGAAGGGTCAGTTGAGGAGGAGATCCGGAACATGGGAACGCCTGCCCAACATAACAGCTGAATCGATCGCCAGTTTGCCACAGCATCTACCACGTTTGTTTTGTTTTTTAGTTTTTTTTGAAATGCGCTGAAGTCTAAAATTCGCGGTGCATTGCAAATTACATTTTAAGTGAGTAATAAACGGTAGGTACCCTACGAATGAGCGATACGATAAATCTATTTATCAAGCGAAACATTATACGTATGGTACTTATCTATTTATCCGTGAGTTTGAGTAAAGAAGAGGAAAAAAAATAATTGGCCAGCACGACGACCGCCAGTGAGAAAATTCGTTTTTTGCACATTTTCTCGCACTTTTGTCGCTAGCGGCACTGTTTTTTCAGATATATGTTTCTAGCTAAAAGAATTGAGAATGGTCAGCAAAACTGTCAGAAAATACACCCCTAGAGTTTCAGCTTTCTAGCTTTTCTGGTCTCCGTGTTAAAAATTTACACACCAAAAATTTTCACGGACCTGTACGTTAAAACCATGCACCCTTGGGGCTAAATTTGAAATCTTTAGGTTATACATGGACGGGGAACATCCCCTTAAAATTTCAGCTTTCTAGCTTCCCTGGTTCCTGAGTTAACAACTTATCCGTCAAAAATTCTAAAAGACGTGCGTAGGAATCGCAGGGGCAAGAGCGTCCGTTTTGGGGATAGGAGCCCATACATGCATTTAGATTAAATTGCCAAAGTTTCAGTCTTGTAGCTTTTATAGATCTCGAGATGAAAGATCGGTACAGGCCCACATACACGGACAGACAGACAAACACAGTACATACACGATCACTCAACAATAAGCGTTTTTGCATTGCGTAAATGCAAAAAGGCACAAAAATGATGCAGTATTTACAAATTAATAGTAATTTTGAAAGAATGGCCACAGCATATTATAATAGCAGAGTGCGAAATTGATGTACTAATTTACAGTGCATTTGAATGGGACAAAATAAGTGTTTGCGCAGTAAAAAAAAATCACCGGGCAACTCACTCTATGGCTAGACGAGAACAAAATTTAGTGTTCATTGAAAAAATGGTTGCAGAAAAACAAATTGACATCAGATGGAATTCAACTGCAAGGAGCGTGTTATAGCATGCCAGAGCGTATTATTCCGCTACAACTTTCACTTGCCCATACGTAGAGATCAGGCCTACGTGGAAGTTAGTACCACACTCCTGAAACAACACCTCGCCAGGGATCCTTTGGCAAATTTCAGCATCAATGCTCGCCTGGTTGCCGAGTTAAAATACCCGGGCAGACGCACGCATAAGCACACACACACACACATACAAGTTTACAAGCCTCTGGGTCGTCACAGTGTGCGTTTTTGCATTTATGCATGTGTACAAAAACGCATAGAAGCTATTAACTCGCTAATTCGATAATTAACTGGAATTGGCACATGTGGCAGTAACAAGTAATAGGCCTCGTGCGTCGCTACCTGAGTTTCTTGTTGGCTTTGTGTTGTGCAAACTGCTTTTCTTTTTACAAAATATATTGCAGCAGCTTTACAACCCTGTGCGTGGCAGTTGTCATTTCAAGATAGCGGAATTCTCCGGAGCAGTTTTAAACGACATGACGTGTATAACACCGGCTTGCTTCGCAGGTCTATAGTTCTCAAATGCCTCGCAGAGGTTATCCAAGACGTTTGTTCTTCAAATTTATTACTTTGAGGACAGTCTCACTTTTAAAAAGTTACTTGAGCTCTAGCTTCATTACTGCTTTCTTGTTCGACACCGCTGGACGATACGCGGAGGATAAATATCTATGTTTTTGCAGGCCGATCATCGCAACTCTCAGTGGTCTCAGTTTCTGAATGCTAGTGCACCACATGCAAACTATTTCCGCTACAATGACATACTTACTTTGTTATACAAAGCAAAATGTGGAGATGCCGGAAATGGGTCATTCTGATCATTTTTTAATTTCTGCCCGATATTTTATTTAGCAAAAACTATTCAGAAACTGTCCTGCAGTTCTGCATCTTTCATCATTTCCCGCTTATTGCTGTAACAAGGGAGCGGAAGCAGCAAGGCCTATTAGCTTAAAGAACAGTGTAAAACCTAACAAATAAGTAGTACTGTACATCGAGGGAGCCGATGCGTTTATGTATTTTGTGCAGTTTTATCCGGCGCACGTTTGCTATTAAGGAGTTGGCTTCCTTGCAGTTCAGTGAGTTCAAAAGTAGTCGAAATGTTATCTGGTTTCGAAACGCAAATTTTTCCCGCAAAAATTTAGCGTGCCTGTAATGTAAAACATTGACATACGCGAGGGCTGACATTAAAATTGTAGAGCCGCAATAAACAAAAAACATCCTCCTAAAAATTTTAATTTCTATTTTGTCTGTTTCCAAAACTAATAAAAACATCCAATATGAAGTTTTACGCACTCGTATGCGAGAGGTAAGCGGGCATAAAAGTTGAATTTGGAATTTTAGGACTGCACATTAATTTTTCAGGACTGTACCCTAAATTTCTGGCTTCTATTTTATTCTATTACCGAAGCGGAAAATCCCCCACCAAAACTTTCTCGCATCCGTGTGTGTAGCCGGACAAGCATGAAAACCGATTTTACCTTTACGAGGTCGCACATGAAGAAGAAAGCGCGTGTTGAGGAAACAGTTTGGAAACTAACTTTCCTTCTTGCCTGGTCCCTAAGTCAGAAAATTTCTTGCCAAGAAATCTTATGTAATACTCAGCTACGCGTAAAAACTAAACTCGGATTCTTGAGACGCGTGCAGGCAGGAAACATCCTCTTACTTCTCCGGCTCCTGAAATTATGAGAAAACTTTCAAGAGTCCGTATGCAAACTAATTAGAAACTTGAAATATTTAGACCGCATGGACTGAAAACATTCTTTTAAAATTTTGGCGCCCGAGAGTTCGTAATTTTCCTGTCAAAATTTTTTTGTTACAGATTTAAGAGTGAACGTGTGCTTGAAAGCTGAAATTAAATTTTGCTGGTCGCACGTAGTTTTACGTGAAAGCTGAATTTTGAAATTTTTTTTACTGGTTCATGCACACATACACACACAAGATCTCAATAATATGCGTTTCATGCAAGTTTCAACTCAAAATAGGTAATTAGCTAGTAGTGGGGCTGCTGCAACAGGTATCTGTGACCAACTTGCTATAACTTGAACTGATTAAATCTATTCTGGAACGCATCAGGCTTGCCAGTGCGATCAAGCGTTTTTGCACTAAACTTGCAGATCCTCAATAGTGGAATGATTCCTATGCTGTAGTCTTACACTTGAACTCATATTAGCCGCGACTTGGCCTTTGTCAGCATGTAGGGGGAAGCCGTCGGTTAGGATGATGATATTGCATTATAGGGCTATATGAACCTCCAGCTTTATCACTTTTCTGCATAAAGTCCGGTTGTTTTTCAGGCAAATGTTCGCTCTTCGAAAAAATGCCAATTTCATGGAAATTGAAAGAGAATTATGAAATCTGCAAAATGCAATAGTTTCTGAGTTTATGGTGAAATTGAGTATTTCTCGTAACCACCTTTCTCGGAATTTCACCTCCATGCAGAATTAAGAGCACACATGAAAGTAGAATATCTTAACGATCTTTAAACCCGGGTCCTTGTCCGGTATACGAAATAGCTACTTCGCTACAAATATCTCTGAAGTGCCTAATTCATAGCTCAAATGCAAGTCGGAGCTCAATTTAGGTATGCATTTTACCATATGGGCAATAAATATGCTGACATAATTTTAGCTACTGTTTTCCGATTAGTTTTCGAATTAGCACAGTGCCAACTGCAAACGTTGACGTGGTCGTACGCGCAGCACAATTGTGTACGACAGCTGAATTTGAATTTGATGCTCGCACATGCACGGAAATACCCCTGCAGCTTTGTACCTTGTCTGTCTCCGAAATCGTTTCCCGCCAAAAAATTTGCATGTTTTTCCAGGGGTCCGCATACGAAATCTAGGCTCGCATAAGTGAAGATTTTAAAATAGCAGGGTGACGCACGAGGTGGGAGTATGTACCCAAAATTTCAGCCTCCTAGTTTTCCTGGTTGCTGAGTTGAAAGTGGGTGACAAAGTTCACTCGCTTTCCGATATACACAAAAACACTCTCGATAAATGTATTTTTGCTTACTGTAGCAACTTTATAGCGCTGCATAGCAAAAACGCATAAAAAGCATTTGGGAAAAACGGAATTTCAGGCCGCGAATCGATGAAATACTGTCAATGCAAAGCGGAAGTGGCTATGACCAGGACATGTTAGCGCATTCGATGCCTTCCGACAAATGGTTCAGATCGAGAGGGCTAGCTAAATTAGGCATTGATATGGAGATTCATTTAAGAGCATTCTCCGTAAATGCTGTTTTCCAGCATCTCAAAACAGCCAGCAAAAAAGTTTATGTAACGGTCGATGAATTCCACGATTTGCTGCGTTCCGATCGCACGACCTCAGAAGTTCTGTCGGTTTTTGAACATCGCCTAATCGAAACCTTTCAGAATGCTCAAGGGGAAATTAAGTAAGCCATGTCGTTTTAAATTTGCTGCATGCAAAAATAGGTAACGATGCGTAGAAGGCCCATGCAACCGTAATTTTTCGTCATGGGACAGTTTGTTTTTTTTAAATCATACTTGTTTGATGCGATAAAGACTGCTACTAGCTTCAGATTATTCGACTTTAACTGCAGTAAAAAATGTTCCTAAATTTCCAACTTATAGAGTGAGTCACAAAGTTCTGGTTTTAAAGTCGACCTGAGTTTTTTAGACTTGAAATCATAGGTAAAGGAGCAGTGAGTTAAAATCTGGTCAGATTTATTTGGCTGGAATTGCAGGGTGAATTAGATTTGAGTGCTTGGAACAGCTGCTGTTTCATAGATGTTAAAATTTAAAAATTTCTTAGTACTTCACTGCTTTTGAAAAAAGTGGCCTAGAAAGCAGTCCGAATGGTGGCACGTGTCAACAGAAACTACTAGCTTGTATGACTCATGATGTATCCTCTTCCGAAGGTTGCTTGGGAGTAAACTGATAGTGGTTTTGTCTCCTTAGTACACGCCAGTGTTAATTTATCGCCGGATCGGATGAGCGAGTCGTAGAGAATTTCTCATTTGGAGAACTCAGCTGTTGACCTTTAGCATAATGTTGCTTGCTACTATACCAAGCTCGTCAAATTTACTGAACATATCGCATGAAATGTAAAAACTGTCAACACATAATCCAAGATCATGTAATTCGCAGACTCACAGAGTTGCATGCCTCCATTTCTGTGGGAAGAAAAAAATTAACGATAATTTTAGAAGTGCCCTTAGCATAATTTTACACTGAGCGCATGCAGATTCTTCGTCACTTTTGACGGTTGTTGGGGCCTCACAGACTTCATAGTGCCAGGCCGTTAGGAAAAATAGGAATGAATTTCCATCTGGCACCAAGACATTAAATTTTGTTTGTTGCTATAAATGTTTTTCACGAAATTATTTTATTCCAGGTTTTTGGTGCTTTAGAATCCTATGCATCTGTTATGTATGCGCGAGTGCTTGTTTATTATGCGTTTGTTGCATCTATGCAGTGCAAACACGCATGTTGTCAAGGGGTTATCTGTGTATGTGCGTCTGTGTTTGCATGTGTGTCTGTGTGTGCGTCTGTATCGAGTTTTGATCTCGAGATCTACTAGAGTTGCAAGGCTGAAACTTTGATGACTTAATCTAAATATGCGTGCAGGCCCCTGTCTCCATAATGAACAATCGCTTCCGTATGGTTCTCGCGTGCGGCACGAGAAAGTTTTTTAGCAGGAAAATGTTTTTGGAAACGGCGCAACCTAGAAGGCCGAGACTTCATATGGATGTCTCTTGGCCACATCTAATCCAAAGATATCAAATTCAGCTTTCACGCATCTCTACGTCTCACGTAAGCATATATGAAAGTTTAGGCTGGCATCATGCCAACTCCAGATTTAAACTGACGAAGAAGTTGTAGAGGGCTATAATTTTACAGTTTTACTTATTGTTCACTGATTTGTCTGTGGAAAGTTACGCACGCAGTTCCGGCCCCGTTGAATCTCGACTACCGACACGTAAAAATTTTACGCAGGTAGTTTTATAACTTCGGAGCTGAAGGAGCTGGAGGGCTGGAGCTTTCTGAGCATGGCCAGCAATGGCGTTTGATTAAGTAGACGTGAAAACAACTCTCGCTTTCCTTTTGTGCTTTACGTACGTGTCACGTGCGAATTCGTGAAATTTGACGTAGGTTCGGAACCAGAGCAGCTGGAGTGCTGAATTTTTCTGAGCGTGGCTGAGGACAGTGTTTGAGTAAACACACGAAAACAACATTTACGTTCCCTTCGCGTACGAACACTTGAAAATTGACGTAATCTCACAACCGAAATATTTAGAATGCTGAACTTTTTAGGCATGGATTGGGAGTCACTGTAATAATTTCTAACAGTCGTGGTGGCCACTCTCAATTCTTTTAGTTAGAAGTATCTGCCAGAAAAAACAGTGCCATTAGTGTCGTGGACAGCAGTAAATTCTCCCGGCTTGGTATTCCTTGCCACGATAGCTCTTCTGGTTATTTGTCCCGAAGAATTTATACTAAATAAATGCAGTTCTAGTACGGCAGAGTGGCCTGTAGTAGCAATAGTCCAAGTTCCTCAACTGTACGCAATACGTTGGCCCTCCTTTGATTGTTTAACGAATGCAGCTTTTGGGTACCTTCTTCACTTCGTTTTGGCGAGTACGATCTGTCGACTCCTTCGATTTCTTGAGCTCGGTTCGTCGGCTCGTATCGTCCTTATATTCTAAAACGAATGAACATAACGCGAGAGTTAAGCGCGAACACGTAGCAAAATAATATACATTATACGTCATCAAATTACAAAAATATAAATTGGGGTAGGGGTGAATTGGTTGCTGTCGACGTCCTGTGTTATTGCCGGTTACTATTGATCCTGCCGCCGTCGATCCTCGTTGTTGGTCCTTGCCGCCGCCCATCCTCGTCGCTTCCTCACAGAATGAGGGGGCTGGCCAAAGAGCTTCGGGCGATCACCAGCCCATCCGTGCCACCCGGAAATCCTATTCTCACCGGGCATGAGCATCGTGGCGAAAGCCCTAGACCTGCCGAGGAATGTGAGCAGCTACTTCCGGCTGACTCATGTTCCTGATGCCATATAAATGCAAAGATGAAAGTGCACATATACTAGCACTTTACTTACAAAAATGCATACATTTTTGAATTTGAGCGAAACTGCACACACTTTTGAGTTTGAATGAAACTGCATGGATCATGCTTCTCGAGAAGTTACATCTTCTCGACAATTAGCGACAAAAACCTGCGAGGGAACTGTGCAAAAAACGCACCTTCGTACCGGCAGCCGGTGTGCTGTCGACTAAGTTTCTATCTGTACCAACCCCATGTCCCATCTTCCTGTTCGTATTTCCTCTAACAGCTATGCAGCCTTTCACGTATTCGAGGAAGAGTGCCTGCTTGCATTTTTGACTGTAACGTCGTTATAGTTATGACGAATTTGTGCAGTTTCTGGGTCGCTTGGAATCAACGCTGCTGGATAGGTGTTCAAAAACGACTGCTCACAAGCCTTTGTTGCTTGCTTCACAGGAAGCCCCTCTCAAGGTATGCTGCGTCACTAGATGCTGTTCCATAATTTTCAACAAACAATACTGACAAGTCGCTTAAACGGTAAAAGCGCCAATTGCGAAGAAGGCGAGAAGTGGGAAAGGGAGGGGAGTGAGGATGAGGGGCAGGTAACCTTTGTTTCTGTTTATGCGTTTTTGCATAATATGCAAAAACACATATTGTGGCGACCCCAGTGTGTGTATGTGTGCGTGTGCGTCTGTCCGCGTATTTCAACTCGGCACCCAAGCAAGCTCCGGCGCCAAAATTTTGTGAGTGGGTTCCCCGGCCAAG